AACATATATTGAGCTTAAAATGATAATACTTACAAAGCAAATTTTGTAAGGATCTGCATCTCCATCAATCAATTTTATGTTTCGCTCACCCAGTTAGTTCACTTCCCCATTTACATGAGACAACTCTTTTAATTATTAACAAAAACTCCCATGAACTTTACTACATAACTTTAATAAAATGTTGTGTTAATGACGCTTTATGAAATCGCATTGACACAAGTGTTTTAGCTATAATCACACAAGAGGGAAAGGCATTTTATTGATAAGAGATATTAGCAAGCTGCATATAATCCATCTCTAAGTGGATAAAGATGTAAACTAAACGAAATGTAATACAGTTGTAGATGGAAGGCGGTAGTGAATCCTTAGGCCTTGACTATTTGCACAATATAAGCGACGTTAGAAGTTGGACATGGTGAGTGTGTCTTAGAATTTCAATCTGTCACAGTTTAATTGACTTAGTGGGCTAATCGAAATAACTTATCGTTCTGAAATAAGTTCATCGAAATAGACAATATTGCCCAAATATGTTCTCCATTCTCTCATCAAACCCTCCCCCTTTCACTAACGGCACATAATCTGCACCAAAGACGTGTCAATCAATATGAAGTAGATTATCGAGATTTCTGTTCCCCCTCAAGGTGACACCTAATCAATTTGAAATTTGTAATGACATCAAATCACCAGCATATTAGGAAATCAAAATTTCATAGATTAAGTTTCGATGTGATGCCTCACAAAGCCATGACAGTTGCTGTGCTGTGTTTGGAGCAGTTAGAAAGCTCCAACCAGAATTACTATTTATCTACCTACCCTATTCCTCACCAGATGTATTAGCAAAAAGATCCATCATCTACTGATAAAGGAACCAGTGCCTTGAACACCACCGCAAAGCAACAACGACTTGTCTGTGGGATGAGAATGGACACTATGCTGGAGGCTCGGAAGATTCACCAATTCACTGGCCTTCAAATTGATGAATGTTGTACGAACTGGAGGGAATCGATCTTTGTGTCTCAGATTGTGACCATGGAAGAAGGTGGTGTGAAGGATTGTGAAGCGAAGAGGCCAAAGCTTTCGAGTGCGAATGGACAAAAGATTGACAATTGCACAACAGCCTGCACCTCTACGATTTGTCAAGTATGTTTGGAGACTTAGTCAAAACCAATCCGACTTCTACCACAACACCCCACTACATTTATGATAGAAGCCTTAATTTCTTAGGCATTGAGATGTCCAAGACGTGCTCCAATACAAGTAGAAACTTGAACTCCTCTCTCCTTCCCAGGACGTATCTAAATCCACCACAACGGCAGTCCACACCGTGCCATTTGTGTGGATAGATGGAAGGTGAAGAAGGTTGTGGTCAATTTCAATGGTTACTACTGTCTGGAGGCAGGGCAGGTAGCCTTTCTGTTGGAGACAGAATATCATCATGAGACAGTAAGCATAAGAGGAAATTCCACCCGTACGCGTGGGCACGCTGTTACTTTCCTGGAAGAGAAAATGCGTGCTTTACATTCTCACGCCTCAGAGCCCATTGCACATGCCTTGCATACACAAAAAAGACACCTCTTACCTTGATGATTTTCTTCTGAATCACAACCAGACTCACTAGTAGTGGCTCGTACTTGGTATACTCCTTGAGTAAAGCGGTATTTCGAAGTGCCTTTGGTCCATGAGCACCTACAAAGGAAAAATGGCAAGTGAGCTAGTCTGTGGGTAAATGGACGGAAGGATTACGCATGTTGAGGAGAAGAATTGGTGGAGTGGACTTGCCTCAATTCGGTCATATTTTGCTCCACTCCTCCAAGGGTCTGCCTCTCGGCTACCTTCGGCAAACGCCATTGTGAGATCCAGATCACTGGAATCTGTTGCGAAGCCCCTCGCCGAGGAGCCAAACAACTCCAACCTGGATCCCGCATACTCCTCTTAGAGGAATCGCTTCAAATCGGTGATAAACGCATTCTACAATTGAAGAAGTTAAGAGGAGATAGGAAGTGGGAGACTTCCTGATTCGACTACATTTCAGGCATTCACTTAGGTGCTGGGGAATTCGCGGTGGTGACAACTGCTCAGTCCTTACACTAATAACTTGAATGTACCAAGTTATGATTCATTGGATGCCTGCCTATCTGACCATTTGTGATTGAAATCTAGGATTAACTTCACCTAAGAGCTCTGCCAAGTATTCTCCACTAGCAGTGACAGAACCACCAAAGTACGAAATGAACGGGAACAAATAGGTATTATAAGAACCAAATCGATTACAGGTTCAGTTACATCTTTTGCGTGAATATGATGTCATTTAGAGTGTGGTGATGCAATTGAGCTACTCAACTTACCCTTTTTGCGATGGTTCTGTCAGAAGGCTGAATGCTTCTAACAAAGTCCTCGAACACATCAGCCAACTCGTAGAGATGTAGGCTACTGTGCAATTGTGGAAGACTCCTCCTAATCTTTCGCCTATATGCGAGTGACATGATTGGCCACTCCGCAAGAGGGTCGCTGCCAAGGATTTCTTCCATGGCCTCAGTCTAAAGAGGAAATCATCATTAGAAATTGTTGCTCCTGACATTGGTACATGTTGGAAAGTGAAATGGAGCTAGTGAGGAACAAGTTTACCCTTCACTACTTCTCCCATTTCTCCTCACATTGATCAATTGCGAATTCTCAATACTGCATGTACGATCTACCAATAAACACCAATAAACGAGTATTGCAATTGAAATGCGAAGAGACTTGTTACTTACCTTTTTGCTCTT